GCCAACGCCCTCCTAACCAGCTCACCATCCTTTTTGGTTGCTTTCAAATGGATTGGAGAAATTGCAGCATTCAAGACAATTACTATTGGGTTGGGTGCGACAGTGACCGTTTTCTTATAAAAGACTCTTGGAAGAATGTTCAGATTTCTCTTCCGCTTTCCCAGCTTCATTGGTTAGAAAAGGCTCTGGTGGAAGTTCTGCATTTTCCTTTGTATTCAAGATTCTCCATGCAAGTTAGGGATGGGAATGGAGCATGTCGTCTCTAGAAAAAGAGACTCTTGAAAGGCTGGTTTTTGGAATGCATTGTTTGGCCCTCTTCTGGTGGAAGAAAATTCATAATTGTACCTGCTGGGATTAGAAAGATCGGTAGGGTAACCTTTTGGGACATGATAAAAGACTCATTGATGAATTTCAAAGCGAAGGTATTGAAGGGCGCCTCAAACTTTTCATTTATACAGAGGGCTAAGAACAGAGATAGTATGATGGCATACTCTACCGCAGAGGATGAGCTTTTCGAGAAAAGAAAAGGGAGCAACTCTTATTGGGTTCAAAAGGAACATGAAGTTGTGAAAACAAATTCGGATAATGTCATGGTCATCTCAAGGTTTTACGCTCAGGATAGCTGGAAGGCAATCGCTGACTCCCTCAAAAGTTTCTTCTCGGAACATTGTCAAGTTAACCCTTTTCTTAGCAGATAAGGCTTTATTTAGATTCGAAAGTGGAAGGCTTTTGAACTCTGATTGGCTCAATGGTAAATGGCGCAAGTTAGATGGATTTCACATGAAGATGGAGGAGTGGGATCTTGAAAAGCATGGCAGGAACAAAATGATAGTTTGTCTTGGTGGCTAGGTGAAAATCTGCGACTTACCTTTAGAGCTTTGGAACACAAATTGCTTCAAGGCCATTGGAACCCATCTTGGAGGTTTGAAGAAAATCTCTCCAGCAACACTAAATCTGAGAATTCTAAGGAAGATGATCTAAGAGGCAAACCTTCGTTAGTGGAGTGGATAGTGCCGAAAGACAGCACATTTACCTTATCCGTACTATCTTTACTAACTACATCTCGTTCCTCAAAGAAAGCCTTATTTAGATTAACTTGAACCCCTTCAGCTACCGAGGGCTTTGCAAGCTCCTTTCCAAAATTAGTATTAGGCTTTCTACGAGAGTACTAAAAAGGAAGGGGTTGAATTAATCGTTCAGTATTCTTCATATCCGGTGGAAACTGGTTGCCCTTTGACTTTCGGTTCAAAATAGCTTCAGCATTTAGCTCTTGAAAAATAGAAGTACCAATAATGTCCACTTCTTGATCAATGCCCACTTCTTTTCTGACCATAGGGGTGCTCAACTGACTCGACACATTGTTTGG